TTCAAACGTAGAAGCAGATTCCACAATAGAGACATAGGGCATCAATCTCCCCTGTGGATGAGGTCATGGAAAGTGGAACACAAAGGTTGTGTCGATGTTGGGAGCTCATGAAAAGGGCGTCCGGGATTCGATGTGGTTTCTTTCAACGATCTTGCATTATGCACAATCCAATTAGTAATGCAGGCCCGCTTCTGCGACTGCATCAGCGTCTGTGTCTCGCCTGCCCCTGTACTCTCACATCTCAGCGTCCAAAGCTATCGTAATTGACTAACTGATCAACGAATTAAATCGTTCACCAAGTAAAATGAAGCTCCCGTTTATTAGCTTTTGGAGGTTTATCGTTTTTTCTTTGCTGGGATTCACAACGAACCTCTGTGCTTACTGAGGAACGTAATAGCTTCACCTGATCATGGAGTGTTCCTTCACGAATGGCTATCTTACTTACCCACCACCTATTGTTCATTCAAACAATACACACAACTAGGATAGCTAATCAAATTTCCAAGTTCGGATTCACGTTGAAATTTTTCAAAAATCGGACTTATTTGCGCTGCGCTGAGACGTGGCCATTTTATGTTAATCTTTTCTTTAGAGCTCCTCGTTAACTGAATCATCCTCTCTTAATCCTGTCAACGATTCCTTTATAAGCGGCGTTTCGTCGCGGTAAACATGATTACTCAGAATTCTTGCGAGCAATGAACGACAGCTATTACGCTTTCAGAAACGCAACCAGGGGTTCTTCCCGGAAAAGCATCACAGCGGAAAGGTTAACATAGCGCGTGACATCCAAAAATTATGCAGAGTAAGGTCAAGGGGCAGACATAGCGTTATGAATGAGTGACATTCAAAAAAAAATCCTAGAATGCGCATTTTTAGAAAGTATCCTGGTTCGCCGACCGTGTCATTTCACACTCCGGACGCTGAAGCTCCTTTGACGTCGGCTACGTCCGTGCAAAGTCAGACTTTGAGGAGCTATACGAGGTTGTTTGCCGTTTAGACATTAGTTTTCAAAGATAGAATTCACTCAAAAACTTACTTTTTCAGAGCATCTCTCGGTCGACTATCTAACCACTTTTCTAACGATCCGGACAAACCCAAGAAAAAGTCAAAAAGAGGTCTGTTGTCGTATGCTTCACAACCTAATGTTTCAGTCTCTCCTGCTTGCGTTGAAGGAAATTTCTGCGCATCCAAGAAGCACCAGCTTTCTGTGTTACTACCCGTGCACAGCGGTGCTTTATTGTATTTCTGTTGGGTCTTTGAAAGAGACAGCGTACGAAAAAAAAAATTCCTCGCACCCCGTTCCTTTTTACTTTTGTAGCATTGTTAGCAATGGGTTGTGATAAATAGGGCTAACGGAAAAATCGAAAGCCCAGGGGGAAAGAGGAATGTAGGCAGGTGGCCAAAAAATTATGAGGACGCAAGCCATTGTGTCGTTGAATAGCGGCGTAGTGGCTTGATGCAACAGAACCAGCTGTTGAGGAAGTGTTTGCAACTCTTATCTCAAAGTAATTCCAGAACAGAATTGAGATCTGCCACCTGGCCTATGTACACGAGCCCTCAGTTGAAGGGGGATGGCGCGTGCATAGACACGCAACTGATGCGTGTTAAAAATGTTTTCCAGGCCTTCTGCTCTTTCTTCAGGGGATCAAAGTTTTGTGGGGCATTTATTTGCCCTTGCCTCCAGGGTGTAAAATACAGAAATCTAGAGCTATCAGGTGGAAGGTTCCATTGTAACAATTCTTCGAAAGCAACGAACTCGAAAAATCGCTTTTTAGAGAATTTTTGCTTTATTCTTGGGTGCTCGGTCCTGTAAAAAGTCCCAAGTAGACTACTCGTGTGGCTTTCTATCCACTACAGATGTGGAGTCTTTAGAGTGTCTGGCTGGGTTTTCACATCAATTTTTTCATTTTGGGTGTACGAAAGTCGACAAGGGGAGACCTAGTTTCTGCATCTGATAATTGTCCTGGTGGTAACTGTAACTTTCGAGTCCCCGAATTTTCCATCTGGTGGTTCCAAACTTATTGAAGAGTTGAACTGTTGCCCACAAGAGCTTCCCTGATACGTTAGACTGCCGCTAGATGTAACGTGCCAGAGCCCTTAGTGAGTTCAATTTGAGGACTGACGTAAGGAGATGTTGTTATTTCACTAGTTTTGAGAACTGCATGAAATTTGGTTTCATTAGGAAGAAGACATTGTACCCTCTCACATAGTGCACAGAAAAGGAGATGAAAATGGAGCGACTCGGAAAAAAGTGGATATGACCGCGCGCGCACGCGGTCCTCATAATTTTGGCCCACCCTGTAAATAACAAAAGAAGTGAATCCGCGCTAGTATCGTTTGGGATCGAATCCTTTGAATACCGTTACTCAAATTGCTACGATTTCTTCAAGATCGTCAATCGGATCAGAATACGTTTTAGGACTGAGATACACCGATGTGCAGTTGACGCGATCGCTAATGGTGGTCACATGGGTGTTCATCGTGCTTAACATGCCCAACTACATCTACAGAATGGCGACCAACATCTTAGGTCTGGATAATCAGGTGAGTAATTAGACAACTATCCGTCGCTCTTTCCATCTTACCGTAATCCTTTACTCTCAAAGCCATGTTGACAGATTTTCCATTAACACATGCGTCACATATTGAGTAAGCAACAAAATAAAAAGGTTCGGATTAAGTAAAAGCATAGAAATTAGATATCACAAGAATGCTGAGTTGTGGGCAAAACTTTCGCCCCAGCCGGGATTCGTACCCGGATCTCTTGCTTTCCGGGCAATTGTGCTACCTACCAGTTACCAGTTATAGAAATTAGACATTAGAAATTTTTAAGGGAGGAATAATCAAAGAATTAGTTCGACTTCCGTTTCGCACGTGCCCTTAGACGGAAGCCAAACTGGAAAAATACCCTCCCTCCGTGCTCTTCAGTAAGGAAGGGAGGAAAAAGTGTTGAATGAGTAAATATAAAGCATACTGTATAGCATATTGTTGTATATAAAGCAATATTGTCTTCTCAACTACGATCTTGAAGTAACGTTTTGATACTTGGAGTCATTTTATCCAGTGGTTCAGAAACTGATCCTTTTGTGGACTAGGTCGAAACAAGGATTTAAAATGGGACGCTGTCAAGGAATGAGGCTAATATTGTACTTGACTTTTATTAAGGTTAAGCCAGTACTAGGGTTCTTGTCAATACACAGTTGAGAATTGTTTGAGTTCCATTAAACACACTCCAACAGCTTGGTTATTGAGTTTTATGGTACTATATAATGTAAAAAAAACTCCAAAAAGCAGAAAAAAGGCAATAGTAGTGTAGTGGCAAGTAGTGCCGCTTACCACCATCGGGGCCATGGGATCAATCCTGGAAATGCGCCGTTTAGGACGACGAAGCCGCACAC